ATGTGATGAATATTATATATGCTATCTCCTCGTTTAGGTATAACTCGTTTGTTCAAAAGGTCGAGTGGAGAATTACGTTCCAACTTTTTTTCAGAGCAATACGCGTGGAAGTGCACAAAGTCATCATCCACGAAAGATTCTAGGTCCGAGTTATACATTTTTCTTAAACGTTCTGATCTTTTACGAATTTCACTGAAATTTAGATTGCCGAATTCAGTAATAACTGTAAATTTTAAATTTTAATTTTTCAAGAATGACGTTGAAAGTGTTTACCGAAAAATTATGTCTACCTGACAATTAAACTTCCCTTTATTTTGATTCGCCAGCCTGTAACTTTCTCCTTCTTCTAATGGAAACAGTTGTCTGATATTCTACCATTATATCTACTACTTTGATAATGTCCAATCTGCTGATGTGTTACCATTTTAGAGATTTTTCCACTAGTGACTTTATTTTATACATAGCGATAAAATTTAGAATTCGGTGAAAATTTAGAATCGATGAGACTGAAACACTGTTTGCTGTTACTCACATTCTGCAAAATTGCATCTAAATTTTCAACTTTTCAATCAGATTTTTTAGAACTTGAGTATGAAATTGTATAGCCCATTAAATTGTAGTAGAACAAAGTGTAAGTTATAGGTTGCTGAAAAATCGGGTTGATTTTTGGCAATTTTTTTTGTATGAAAAAAAGTGCGTAATACATTCAGAATAAAAATTATCAAAAATCCAAAAATCAACGCGACTCTTTAGGAACTACAAACTTGCACTTTATTCCATTAAAATTTAATGAGCTATGTACACTGAAGAGCAAATCTGGAACAATAGAACGGAAAGTAAAGTTTGTGGTAATGTACTTCTTCAGTTTATTTACTTTATGGTAATTCAAACTTGCATTTCGCCTTACCGATGTTTAACTAAACGTTTGACCATAAAAATTTTAAGATTCGCATATGGAAACTCAGAAAAAAATGACCAAACAAAAATGAACTGGATTGTTCCAGTTTTACACCCTTTTAGTATTTGCTGAATTTTATAATTCAAAGAGGAGTTCTGGCTCATTTCCTGCAATTTTGTAATCAAGGCGCGTGGGATTTTCGCTGTGAGTGCTTTAAGTGCACAACCCAAGCAAAAAGAATTTAAAGTTTTTGCAAAACGGTCAGAAAGGCTACGCTATAAAGAAAGAAATCATATCGGCCAAATGTCCGTTTTATGGTTATCTAAACAAGCGATAAAAGGGCGGACCTCAGTCTGCAAGATCAAGAGACCACAAAAAATTGCAATTTGTTAGGCTAGGCATATTGGAGGGTCTCTGAATACCAAGAAACTTTGATTCAAAATCAAAAATTACTGCTTTTTCACCACAAAGCAAGTAACTGGACATTATGTAAGACATGGGAACAAGTTATTGCAGCACAAAGATAAAGAGGAGAAAGCCTGCTTTGACATCCAGAAAATTTTTTTGTCAGAAACGCATTTTTACTAAGAAAAAACATTGGATTGGTATTATTTTGAAGCGGGAATTTAAAAGTTCTTCATAAACGACCACATTATTCCACCAAAATTTACTATTAATTAGGCCACGGCCCTAAATTTTTTAACTCTGAGGATAAAATTAAACGTTTTAAGTCGGAATATTGGTTCAAGTGCTGTGCACCTGCATCAGGGATACGCCTAACGTCCCAAAATATTTAAATATTAGGCTGGTATGTGTACATTTAATGATGTAGGGCCGTGTTACGCCTTAGGGAGTAAGAACTGTGGTAAAGAGTAAGAACTGTGGTAAAATCGGCGGTAAAAAGAAAAGAGACAACAAATGAGCATTTTCAAAGAATTTGGCAATTTCTGAGGATATTTTTCGCAGGCTTTTATCAATTTTAACAGGACAATGATCAGAAATATCCTCCGAAACTGGGGCCAAATAGGTATAAATCCCAAGTTTTTATAAACATGGAGTGACCTGCGTAAAGCCCAGAATTGATTCAACAGAAAACTTATGGAATTGTTTGAAAATGCCACTGTTCAATTGCGAAAATTCGCCCAATCGCATGCAAGACCTTGGGCATGGCGTTGAGGAAAACCGGTGCGCGTTCTCAACAGATTTCGCCTAAAACCTGTGCGAAAGTATCCCAAGATGACCATAAAAGCTAAAATATTCAAATTGGTTATGGCCAATTTATTAAAAGTCAAGCAAATGGTAAAATTTTCTGCCGGGTGCAAAACTGGAACAATCTAGTTGCTACGTTTTTTGCAATTTTTTTCTTTATCTGCTTGTATTAATTATTGTTTTTAAGGCCTTCTAATGAAATAAACATTGGAAATGTGAATTCCGAAACTAGATTACAAAAAAGTCTTCATATATTGCGAATATATTGCAAGAAAATGCACATTATGTATTACTGTTCCGGTTTTGCTCCTCAGTGTATTTAGATCACAACTTTAATAAATCATTTCATTTCGGTATGATACGTAGACCTTCGTTATTTATGACGAATATCTTATTAGGTGCACTGGAGTAAATTATTTTTTTAGGGACCGAAAATAAAGAAGATATATATTTTAAGATTATACTAGCGGTACGAGGCTTTACTTTTTTTTTAAGTAGATTATCGTATTAGACAGGGTAGGCTAAAACTCGGAGTTCGAGCGAGCGAGCGAGCAACCTACTACTCAATGCCTCGCAGGGAACGAGGCGCTCGCAGCTCGTACTCGTAGCAGCAATGAGGCGAGGCACGAGAAGTTTGGCTTGCTCGGCAAACGAGCGAGCGCTGCTTGTTTCCTCGCGCGCCTATTAAACGAGCGAGGCTGTTGTGTGTTGCCTCGCTCGCGGTGCGAGGCGAGTAGCTGTCTGATTACTCGCTCTGCTAGGTAAGACGAGTGAGCGACGAGCGAGCGCTCCGAGTGTACTATAAATCACACGCATTTTTGTGCATAAAAATGTGGGAATGTATGTCAATAGATTATGTACGAAAGTATGTTAATAATTGTATGTACATATGTGCATATGCATATAAATATGTGAATATTAGATTAGGGCAGCATTTAAACAACAAATAAAATTTATTACATACATAAGCATAGATTATGGAATGAAATATTTTTTTATAGTTATATACATATATGTATGTATATGTACATACGTACATACATACATAACATTCATAGTTATATATGTATGTATGTATGTATGTATGTACATACATATGCATGTATTTTGTCTTTACAGAGAAAAGTAAGTAACGAAGATATTATAATCGTTTGTGCCGCAGAAAAAAAAAACAAGTAAGCACTTGTAACACCCCCAAAATAGTTTGCTACTTGTAGCAGTTATGCTGTATACCTGATGAATGAAATATAATGCTTGGTGAAAAAATTTATTTGTGGCCTGTTGTTGAAGGACATATGTATATATATATGTACATATGTATGGATCAGGGATGGGCGAAATCAAGAAAATGAATAATTGAATAAAAAAAAAATAAGAATAAATTTTCATTCATCATTTCAAAAATTTTGAATGACGAATAAATTTTTATTCTTTATTCAAGCACTTTAGAATAATGAATAAATTTTTATTCTTTATTCAAACATTTTCGAATGATGAATAAATTTTTATTCTTCATTCTAGCACTTTCGAATGATGAATAAATTTTTATTCATCATTCAGGCACTTTCAAATAACGAATAAATTTTTATTCTTCATTCAAGCACTTTCAAATAACGAATAAATTTTTATTCTTTATTCAAGCACTTTCGAATAATGAATAAATTTTTATTCTTCATTCAAGTAATTTCGAATGAAGAATAATTTTTTATTCATGATTAAAGTAATACTGAATAACGCATAATTTTTCATTTATTCTTTCTTTCTTGATCACAGTACCAGGTAGACGATTAGAAAATATAATATTAAAATCTACATGTGTA